TGTTTTGTAGTTCGATATGGAATTTATTTCACTCGTGAGACAGGATTTTTAAAAAATATTTTCACTCTGCTTCGCACTCATGAAAATATAAAAAAAAAAATCCTGTCCCACTCTTGAAATGAATTCCATATCCAACTACAAAACATTGAATATTCTCTATATACATTTTCAGCAACTATATTATTCTGAGAAATGTTTTTTCTGAGAGTATAACTGCAAAAGAAATTATTTGAGACCCACTATTATTTCAATAGTTTAAAGAAAATGAAAGAAAGACAAGTAAATATCTTGCAAACATACTTTTTTAAAATTTCCTTGTGACATTGTTCAAAGCAAGAAATTTGTCTTAAGATTTCTTATGCTTTAGATAGTTTTGTGAAACAGCAGTGACAAATCTTATGATTATCATGTCACATCTCAAGATAATCTTAAGATCTATCTTAGGACAAATCTAAAGATAGTTTTGTGTAACCTTTTGTGGCCCTGGTTTGTTTAATACCCTGGAACAGAAAAAAAGATTTTAAAAGAAAAATGCACTTTTCACTACATAATCAGTAGAGCCCCCCTCCAAATCCTGTAGCCTGACCCTGGGGCCACAAAGAAGAAGGTACGGTTTGAGCTTTATTGTGCCCTAAAAATTTAATATTCTTAAAAAGTTATGAAATTAGCTTAAATATGAGTTGAGATGAATGTGAAAAATCATGAAAGAATATGGCATTAAAGAGGACCATTGTGGAAATATGACATTATTAATATGTTACATTTTTAAGTTTTGAACATAAAAAGCCTCAAAATGACTCATTTCAGGGGTTATTTCCCTTGAGAAAATAATGTCCACAGTCGTTGCCCACTTTAATTTTTGGATATGTTGTGTAAAATCCTTTGAAAAATCCCATTTATCAAAATCTTTGTGGGCGATGCATGTGCTCTATACTATTTTATAGAAAATTTTACTGAAAATTGTTGTCTTCTGCTACTTTTTAAGAAAATACGGGAAAAGGCACAAGTTCATGACCTCACAATTAGCATTTAGGTCATTTGAGAAAAACGATTTATATCTTCTTACTGCACTGAATTTCAATGATTCAAAAGGCCTGAGTTTTATTTTCTTACATCTCTTTCATATTTAAGAAAAATACAGGGCAAAATTTGTATTGAAACCGTACCTTTTTCTTTCACAATTTTGAAGAGGTTTCTGTGATCATCATAACCATGCACCTAGTTTATCTGCTTTATATACAGGGGAAGACAAGAAGATATTCAAAGAATTTATGCATATCACTTTATGATCACCAGAGCTCCATCCTACCTCCAGAACCCCAGACACTGGGGCCATGAATTTCACAATTTTGTTTGATGGCTCATGCCAACAGTTTGACTGCTTGATGTCCAGTAATAAGATTGATTGATTGTATGTTGTTTTACGTCCCATTCGAGAATTTTTCACTCATATAGAGAAATCACCATATACCAGTGAAGGGCTGCAAATTCTGACCTTTACTCGGCACTCAGGGCCATTGAGCAGTGAGGGTTCTTTATTGTGCGAACGCCTACCGTGACACGGGGCCTTGGTTTTTAAGGTCTCATTCGAAAGACCCATAACTTTCACTTCAAAGTGCTGAGCACATGGCAAAGGAACAGTTGCTACCCATTTTTTATCCAATTAGGTCTGTCGCGGCTGAGATTAGAACTAACGACCTCCTGATCACGGAGCAAGCACTCTACCAACAGAGCTACCATGAATGGTCCAGTAATAAGAAGAAACAGAGTAAAAACATGTTCCCAAACTTCATTTGGGAAACATAATTATCATAGGTGAAGGGCAAAGGGGAATAACTTCTTTGATTTTCAAAATACTGAAAAGATTGGACAACAGGCATAAATTGCCTATAAATACCTCTGTATACAAGAAGTCAAGGTTACAAATACAATGAACTGAGTGAATATTTTCTTTCAGAAGAATACAAATAGAGCCCTGCCAAACAAGAGAACACTTAACCAAGTGGTCTAGAATTTCACAAATGTGGTGAAAATACCCTTGCTTATTACAATTTTGTACTCTGTTTGCTTCCTAGATTCCCAGGAGCAAAGAAGAAGGCTTTCAAAGAAATAATAATTTTCCACAATGGATTCAATATAGCACCACCCTAATACCAAAATCCCCGAATCAGGGGCCATGAAATTCAAAATTTTGGAAGAGGTACACTTTCTTATCATAAATATACACTTAGTTTATCTGCTCAATACCCACAAGCAGAGAAGATTTTCAAACATCATAGCCCCTGACTCAGGGGCCGAGAAATTCATAATTTCGAAAGAAGCACATCATAACCATGCATTTAGTATGTTTGCTAAATTCAAGAAAGCAGATAAGAAGATTTTTCAAAGATTTTATGCATTTTCACTATATATTTAGAGACCCACCCTAACACCAAAACCCTGACCCAGGGACTATGAATTTCAAAATTTTGGAAGAGGAATCCTAGCTCATCATAACCACCAGTTTGTCAGCTCAATACCAAGAGGCAGAAAAGAACACATTAAAAGAATTTATACATTTTCACTATCTGGTCTATAGAGCCATGCCTTAACAACAGAACCCCTGTCCCAGGAATATGAAATTCAGCTCTAAACTAGAACTGTCCAAAATGGACTAATACCCCATGATATTCAGGATTCTGGAAGAGGCTCCCTTGCTCATCATTTTCTGTTGTAGTACAACAGAAAATGCATAATTATGTCATTCTGTTGAAAAAAAAGATTTTGTGTTTAATTTGTTACAAAGCTTTAATTATATATTAAAAGAAAAAAAACTGTGTAATCTTGATGCAACATTTTTTAATAAGGTTACTGCATGACTCTTAGATTTGTAGGGACTATCTGCCAAAACAAACTTTTTTTTTAATATTTGGTGTTTTTTTTTTTTTTTATTTTTTAGTTTTAATGATTAGTTTTACGTTGCAATTCACATTTTAGTACAGATGTACCAACTGGCCATTCTAGATTCTCTGTCTCTAACCTAATGAACCCAAAATGAGTAGGTCAATAAAAATGAAAAAACACCTGTAAAATGCAGAAAAATAATCCAATCATGATGAAAATACCAAGTGCACACCTTCATACAGTGAATAATGAGTCTACATTATTACAGCATTTTTTCATATCTGCAACAGGAATTGTTATGTAAGAAAACTACTAAAGGAGATGACCATATTTTAAAGACTAGTTGTAGATCTGTTATGGCTACAATTTACAGAAGCACCTCGGTACTCCATATTCAGGGGAGTTCAGCATCATCATGGTGTGAGAAATTCATTGAGGAAATAAGTGTATATGCATGTGAACTTCATGAATCAAATATTATCATTTCCCAAACACCACCACAAATGACATCCACACCCAGGAGGGACCCATCAAGATTTGTTCCATGTGATGAATCTAAAGAATGCAGCAGGTGCGGTGATTCTGCTTTACGTGTGGAGGAACTTTCATTAATAGTTCATCGCCTAACACAGGAGATCAAGTCGTTAAAAAAGAAACTGGATGAAAATGTAAATAATAGTTTAACCAGTTCAGGTACTCAGACAACTTCTACAGTTCTCAAACATAAGGGCAATTGTACAACTGATCTGCCTAAGGCATTTAACAATGTCACTTCTAGACATGTACAGTGTAGCTATGTTCCCTTCGATATATCTAAGAAAGAATGTTCTACAAACACAGAACCACAACCTGTGCATCGAGAACTAGGAAACGATTCCTTTCAGAAACGTAATACCACTTCTAAAAACCTGCAGAAATCTACACTCCTGATCGGCAGTTCAGTTCTGCAACGAATTAAAACCATGGGTTACATTCAAATGTTAGTGTAAGTACAAACAGAGGAGCCAGTATTTCTCATATTCGTAAGAAACTACAGCAATACGATGTGTCTTCTCTGGAAAACATCATAATTCAGGCTGGAGGAAATGATGTTTCAAATCAACGCAGTATGGAAGCAATAGAAAATGACTTTACCGAAAGAATAATGGACTTGAAGAAGAGAAATTCAAATATTCATGTTTTCATTTGTGAAGTCACGCCAAGAAAAGACGCATTGATCACTGATGTGAATGAAACTATCCATTTTGTGTGCGAGGAGTATGGTGCAACAGTGATTCTTCAAAGACTGGAATTCTCCTTTATACTGGAAAGAAGGTATACATTTATCCGACCTAGGAACTGCTTCCCTGCTTAAACTTTACAATAAACATGTCCAAATTCTGAAGCAACATCAAGTGCAGGCTTCCTCCACGTCCATGAAATAAATGTGTTGTTACTACTATGGAGAACAAGGCCATTCATCCCAAAATTGTAGACATGGAAGCAAAGTAGACTGTTGGCAATGTGGGGAACCTGGACATAAACAAAAGTTCTGTCCATACTAGAATAAGGGCAATGAATGTCAGGCCGAATATACAGAGAGTATTTCCTTAAGTCTACAAAACAGTTTTTTACCTCTCCAAACTCTAAGTTCAGAATGTAACAAAAATTTATGAATATGTATCACAAAAAATTCTCAGATAGATTATTCATATGCCAAAAATATACATTCTCTAAAAACTAAGCAAATATCTAGTTCTAAACAGAAGATAAACAAAAGTCTTAGTTCTGGAAGTCTCAATTCAAACAAAGCAGTAAACATATCAAATAAATATGCCCCGGTAAATTCTGGTTTTGGTCTGGTTAAAAAAGGTTTGCATTTTGGAAATTGTAACGTAAAATTAGACGAACAAAATGAAAGATCTATGGATGTGTTGGGGCTTTGTGAGTCTTTTTTAAATGATCAAATTAGTGATTCAGATTTGAATATAGATGGTTATGTATTTGAAAGAAAAGATCGACAAAATAAGGCAGGTGGTGAAGTAGTTATTTATGTCTCAAATAATCAAATAATTTTGGCCTGAAAATTTGAAAACTATTTTTTTCCTGGCCTAACCTAAATTGAAAAACTGACATACTTGTTGGAGCTTCTAACCGTGGTCTCTTAGTTGGTTGTAGCAGTTTCTTTTTGTCCATGTGATGGAAGAGAGAAAACTGTGGAGGTCAGGCTCCACGAGGCTGTTGTTTGTCACCAATATTGGCCAGTGTAGAACAACAATCTGGACAAAACAAATTACAACTGTGACTAGACTATAGCTCTAGTATTTTGAATTAATTAGTCTAAAATCAAGTTAGAAAAGCACTTTTAAATCTTCCCAATCTAATTAAAATTAGATGTTCCGAATCCGCTACCGCTTCTCAAACATCTAACAACATCACATTTGGGGTCACGTCAGAGCACGCTCTTTACCATGTATATTTTGTTTACAATGAAACCCCTCGGGCATTTAGGTTTGCCAGTAAAAAAAAGAAACGCATCCGAACTATATGCCAAGAATTCTGAGATGGCGATTTTATTGGGTAATTGAAAGGTCGCTCTGACGTGACCCCGAACGTGATGTTGTTAGATGTTTGAGAAGCGGTAGCTAATTTTAATTAGATTGAAATCTTCTATGAAGTTTAATTTTTCTCCTAAAATTGGGCAAAAAAGATAACACTTCATTTAAGGATGCAACTTTAAACAAGAGGCCCAAGGGTCTTACCAATCATCTGAGTGTAACACAGCACTGTAAAGGATCCATTTAAGTATGAAATAAAACATAATAAGCTGAGAAATGAAGATATGTTGTTCAAAAGTAAAAGAAATAGGATAATCTGGCACATCAACAAAATAGTTAGTCTTGTAGTATACAGATATGGAATGGGTATGAGGTAAATAGCTAATTTATGGTTCCCCGAGGGAGAAAACTATTTCCCGAGGCAGCCAAGTCATCGAGAGATATAGTTTCCTGCCGAGGGAAACCATAAATTTACTACTTCCCTCATACCCATTTCATAACTGTTTTATTATACCGAAATAATCTAAGGAGATTTATTATACCACATATATTCAGACATTTTTAAGGCAATAAAGAGGCTTTCAAATAAACACAAATCTATGTTAGATATCTAATGCATCAATATCGAGGAAAATAATTATAGGTTTAAAAAATAATTTCACAGATATTTTAAAGAATTAAAGTGCATGTCATTTTGCTTTAATTAATTTCAGTATGATTTTGACATTGCATGTCAGAATGTTTTGACGTCCTAGTTACATTGCTAATAACATATGTCACAGACTCCAGATTCCTTGAATGTGCTGCATTCTGAATGCAGAACCTGAAAATGTTCAAATGTTAACACACCCCATGACAACAAATACAGATAGCAATAGGTCACCTGAGTGAGTCAGGTGACCTTATAAAATTTGTAATCGTTGGATAAACAGCAATTAACAAAACAGTTCTGCTTAAACAGAGGTGTATACTATCTTGCATTTTAGGATTATAAACAGAGTCATCGGTGAGGAAGCGTCATCCAAAGGGACACAGCAAAGATAATGTTACATGTACCCAAGGAGAGTGAGGGGGTGGGGCGTGGGGGTTATAATATCAACAAACTTGAATCTACACTACCTGAGGTTGCTTCTATATTAATATGACTAATCATAGCTTTGCTGTCCTTAAGAAGATTTTAAGATATTTCCTATATATTCTTATGTAAAACTATGATCTCCCATTATGACTCTGTCCTATACTGGGTAGTCAAGATTTGAACAAATCTGAATCTAAATTACCTGAGAATGCTTTCTTATTAATATGAATAATCATGGATTTGCTGTTCTTGAGATGATTTGAAAAGATTTTTTTCATATATACTGTACATGTACATAATTTGGTGTATTCAAAATTTAGCGCAATCACTGAGTATTGAGTTCTTAGTGTATTCATGAATAAGCACAACACACAAACGCGCCATGTATTTTATTTATAAATTATTTATTAGCAGTATTCATGAATTAGCGCATCGTTGTCAGCGCCAAAGCCGCTGAAGTATAAAGCCAGCTATATTATGTACACATACAGTATTTCGATGTAAAACTTTGATCCCCTATGTGGTCCCACCCTACCCCCAAATGCCAATGTTTGGAACAATATGGAATCTGCACTATCTCAGAAAGCTTTCTTATAAATTTCACCTTTTCTGGTCCAGTGATTCTCAAGAAGGAGATTTTCTAAAGATTTTTCCTTTAAATTTCAATGTCAAAATCTGATTCCCTATTGTGGCCCTATTCTAACCTGGGGGCCATGATTTGAATAAATTAGAATCTACACTACCTTAGCAATCTTCCACATTAGTTTCATCTTTTCTAGTCTAGTGGTCCTTTAGTTTTTTTTATGACCCCATTCTAGTTTTACCTTTTCTTGATTAAAACTCTCAAGGGACATTTAGCTGATAAGTAATTGGCAACAAATTGAACAAAACTCTAAATTTTTTACACTTCAAAACACATACTTTATCAGCAACATTTTCAATGAATAAGTTTCTGACACAATTTTCTTGATGTCTTTGAAAAACTAACTGCAAATGCGAAAAATTCAAACCAGTGTAATGGTTTGGGCCATGGATATCAGCCTGGGTAGCTCAGTCGGTAGAGCACCTGACTAGTGATGCAGGGGTCCCGTGTTCAATTCCCAGGCCAGCCATACATTTTCTCCTTTCCTGTTACAGATTTGGTGCTGTTGACCACCCCTGGGCTTGCACCTGAAAGTCCTGCCAGTTGCAGGGGCTAATAAGAACTTGGGTTGTGTCTTCAAGGGCAAAGACAATTTAAGAAGGGAGGGATGTAATGGTTTGGGCCGTGGATATCGGCCTGGGTAGCTAAGTCGGTAGAGCACTTGACTAGTGATACAGGGATCCTGGGTTTGATTCCCATTCCACCCATACATTTTCTCCTTTCCTGTTACAGATTTGGTGCCGTTGACCACCCCTGGACTTGCAGGTGAAAGTCCTGCATGGGGCAAATAAGAACTTGGATTGTGCCTTTGAGGGCAAAGACAATTTAAGGAGGGAGGAATGTAATGGTTTGGGCCATGGATATCAGCCTGGGTAACTGAGTCGGTAGAGCACCTGACTAGTGATGCAGGGGTCCCGGGTTCAATTCCCAGTCCAGCCATACATTTTCTCCTTTCCTGTTACACCAGCATAGCCATAAAATCAGATATAACCTTTTCATAAACTGAAACGAGAAAGACTTGTTTTTTTTTCTTTACATACTCTTTATGAATAATTCTTAAAAATAAATTCAGATGATACACTGTGACTGATAAGAGATCTGATTCATCTGTAACATTATGATGTTTTTCAAGTTTCTGCAAGTTTACAGAGTCATATAGTGCACAATGAGCTTGACCAGTAAATTGTAATGGATTCTCTCATTAAGACTTTCCTGCAAAAAACAACCAGTATGATTGTCTAAAACATTTCTAAACACATCTAAAGTGTCCACAAAGCTAACAACATTCGTAAGCTACATTCTTTATATACAACAGATTTTTCACAAGCAATAGGAAAGTCCCTCAGTGCACTTCGAAGATCAGTTGCCTGTAATACTTTTCCTCTCTTCATCAAAGTATTGTTTTTCAAATGGACTCCATGAACAAAGTAGCTTTTGCTACCAACAGGTTGTATCAATCTCTGAAAAGTGTCATTCCCTTGGGCAGCTCCAATTTCTACGATTTCAGATATTAGACCTATAATATTAACAATTTTGAAAAAATGAAATATTTCAATATTGGTTCCTAATTTCTTATATTTAATTTTTTTCGTAAAAAAATCTATATTTGTAAACATTTATTTTTTCAAAGTAATAATAACAATGATACTAAATTTGGTTTTTCACCTAACCCTATGGTCTCTAAATCAAAGAGAGGTGTAGTCATCATCTGCTACAGGTGCTCTGACTGTCAATGGCAAGGCAGGAGAAAGTCTTGATAATGTTCTTGTTCTATTTCCATAGATGTTTCATAGGTTGTTCTTTCTCTCACTTCTTTTCTTTCTTAATCTTGTGATGATGACTTTCTCAGATAAAATTTTCTTTTCTTGTATGCAGAACTTTGACACCTTTCTCTTTCCAGGGCTCTTTTCATATCCATTCCTTCTATTGACTTCTGCTTTTTGGAACTGGATGAGTCTTTAGCTGATATTGCACATACACTAAAATCTAAAATATAGTACATACAATTTTTATATTGTATCAAATGTATTAGTCCAAAAAAAAAAAATTATCTATAGTTTCTCAGGCGCTGCTTCATCTGGTCAAAACTGCCACATTGATTAATTTTTACTGACAAATTGAAAAGGAAAACAACTCAATTTTTCAAATTTTTCAAGTTGAAAAAGAAAATTGAGTTATGCCCCTTTTGTACAAGCTAACAGGTATTTTTATTAGGCTACAAAAAATTAATCTATGGTTTCTCAGACACCACTGCATCAGTTCAAACACTGCCGCACTGACCAAATTTATTGACATACTGTAAAGAGAAATACTGTAAAAGCATGTACTGTAAAAGTGGTTATTTACACTGGTTGTTAAGTACGCATTTGTGACAGTCAAACATTACGCGTGGGTGTTATATAAGCTGTCACACGAGTTACTGAGGAAAATTTACGCAGCCATCATTACTAACATCAAGTTGTTCCCCTTTGAAAAGGTCAAGTAGTTTACACGTGTGAATTTAAAAAAAATAAATTACCTCGGTAAAATAATAACCAAAACAAAACAATTAAAAAGAATTTATATTGGTCATCGATATGTGCATGTTCCTTGGATTGCTAAATATAACGGTGATCTGCACATTCAAAATCGGTAAAGTGTGAACAACTGGTGTGCGCTTTATTGTAATTATTAACGCAAGCTCAACCTTCAATGTGGGATCACTTAAATCTATTTCTGTGTGGCAAGTGTTGACAATTAATTCAATAATGACTGTGAGTTTATGTAACATTTTGGACTAATTATTTGAAATTAAGAGGGACATACACGTTCGTACAAAGGAAATGAAAATGACTATAGATGTTTTGAAGCTCTAATTGCGTGATGTTGCTTTAAAATATTTAATATGAAGATGCATTTTTTCATTGCGCAATTTAGAAAAAAAGAACATTTACATCACTGTTTGTGATGTAATTATCAACTCACATGCCTTCAATACCACAATTAATATACGACTGGTTC